TTATATAAGTAAATCGCCTTCACTAAAGAAAAGTAAATGCTTACGTGAGGTATCGATTTTTTTGTAAAATAGCCAATAATATTAAAATTCAATAATGTTGTTATTAGCCAAATCGTTGATGACTTTATGAAAAGTCGTCTTCACTCTTTTGTAAAGTTATATTAAAGTTATAATCAAGTACTTTAAAAATAATTAAAATATCACATGAAAAGTTCCCGAATTCGATATTAATTAGAACACAAAAAAAATCTCTTTCTATATTTCCAGTTACAGGCATGCTGGAAGAAATTTCAATACGATACAAGAAGTGCCTTTGTATATCTTTTTATTTTTAGAGTGCAGTTTTTTATTGTTAGTGCAGTTTGTTCCAACTTGAGAGATAGGATAGTTTTTGTGCCATGTGTGACCCACAATTTTTTTTGCGATTTCAAGGATTTTTAATAGGACAAAGGGTCGTCGAAAAGGGCAGAACAATGTATACCCGGCAAGCTAGTACATATATATATATATATATATATATATATATATATATATATATAGAATAGTTAGTTTAACAGCATAACAACCTACGATACTTGATTGGGTCATATATAGTCGATTAGACCGCTGTTCTTATATTTCAAAATGTCTTTGATTAAAAAAATATCACTTACATATTATGTTCTTGAGAATCGTTGGCATTAAGTGCAAAATTACACTTCAAATTGTGAATCCTATTTATAACAAATAACTTTATGGGAAATGGTATCAACAATTTGGCTATATGTTATACAATTAACGTGATCGTTTATCACGTTAATTTTAGCCCACCTGATAGTAAGTGGCTTCTGCATAGGCACCTGGAACCCACTTTCAAACGAAGAGGCTAACAGATGCGTTGCCACAAGGAGTATTTAGATGGAATATACTAACTCGTAGTCCATCTGACAGTAAGTGGCTTCTACATAGGTACCTGGAACCCACTTTCAAACAAAGAGGCTACAGATGCGTTGCCATAAGGAGTATTTAGATGGAATATATTTAAGCTTGAAATAAACATAGCCCTACCGGAAAATGTGCATTTTGTAAAATATAAAATCCAACTTATTTCAATTCAAATTCACATACACATACAGTGTCATAATTATTGAAAAGTTGTGATTAAATTATTAGATTTTCGTTTTGTAGCTTATGTCTAAGTTATAAACAAAAAAATACATCTGTGCTGTGTTCTTTAATTTTTTAAACACTTAACTTTTTCGAATTCTTCTACTTTTAGGTTTATCCTTAGAGTGATTTATCCATTTCTAACCTAAGTCATAATATAAAATATAACTAATAATTCTGAAAGAAACATTAATCTCTATACTTTTTTAACAAATTAACTTCCTCTGCTATGAAATCTGTCAAATATTTCACTTCATGCATAAGTGGCGCCACCCTGGTGGCAGACAAAGTCATTGTAACTGTTGGTAGAACACTTGCGTGTTTGTTGCTGCTTCTTCTCACAAGGTCTCGTCGCAGTAGGTACTTGTTGAACTTAACATTCATAAGTGGCGCGCCCTGGTGGCAGACAAAGTCATTGTAACTGTTGGTAGAACACCTGCGTGTTTGTTGCTGCTTCTTCTCACAAGGTCTCGTCGCAGTAGGCACTTGTTGAACTTAACATTCATAAGTGGCGCGCCCTGGTGGCAGACAAAGTCATTGTAACTGTTGGTAGAACACCTGCGTGTTTGTTGCTGCTTCTTCTCACAAGGTCTCGTCGCAGTAGGCACTTGTTGAACTTAACATTCATAAGTGGCGCGCCCTGGTGGCAGACAAAGTCATTGTAACTGTTGGTAGAACACTTGCGTGGTAGTTGCTGCTTCTTCTCACAAGGTCTCGTCGCAGTAGGCACTTGTTGAACTTAACATTCATAAGTGGCGCGCCCTGGTGGCACACAAAGTCATTGTAACTGTTGGTAGAACACTTGCGTGGTAGTTGCTGCTTCTTCTCACAAGGTCTCGTCACAGTAGGCACTTGTTGAACTTAACATTCATAAGTGGCGCGCCCTGGTGGCAGACAAAGTCATTGTAACTGTTGGTAGAACACTTGCTTGGTAGTTGCTGCTTCTTCTCACAAGGTCTCGTCGCAGTAGGCACTTGTTGAACTTAACATTCATAAGTGGCGCGCCCTGGTGGCAGACAAAGTCATTGTAACTGTTGGTAGAACACTTGCGTGGTAGTTGCTGCTTCTTCTCACAAGGTCTCGTCACAGTAGGCACTTGTTGAACTTAACATTCATAAGTGGCGCGCCCTGGTGGCAGACAAAGTCATTGTAACTGTTGGTAGAACACTTGCGTGTTTGTTGCTGCTTCTTCTCACAAGGTCTCGTCGCAGTAGGCACTTGTTGAACTTAACATTCATAAGTGGCGCGCCCTGGTGGCAGACAAAGTCATTGTAACTGTTGGTAGAACACTTGCGTGTTTGTTGCTGCTTCTTCTCACAAGGTCTCGTCGCAGTAGGCACTTGTTGAACTTAACATTCATAAGTGGCGCGCCCTGGTGGCACACAAAGTCCTTGTAAATGTTGGTAGAACACTTGCGTGTTTGTTGCTACTTCTTAGTCTCGTCGCAGTAGGCACTTGTTGAAGTTAATATTTAGCTAAATTAGCATTTGACTTTCAAAAGGTGCTTTATAAAAGTCATTTTTGAATAAAAATATTTGACTTTTAAAACACAGAAGTTAGCTTTTCGAAAAAATCAAGCCGTGATAGACCTCTTCGAAAGTTGTGGAAAATTATGGCATGGATATTTTCCTTAGTAAGATTTATTGAACAGTTGATTTTCTACAGTTTTTAATAAATTAATTGAATAATAGGTACGACATAGTAACGAAGGAAACTCATTTCTTTTAAGGGAATTAAAATAAGAAAATAAAGACGAAAGTAGTATTTTTTATTTATCATAATATAAATATGTTTCGCGGCGAGATTTAAACGTAATCACGGGGCAATTAAGCATTATTCGTGTCATGCCATGCCACACTACAGTTGCTACGCGAACGGTATCAACTATCAGTTAGTTAGGGAGTCATTTATCCAAATAGCTAGTAGTCTAGCTGCTAGACATATATATCTGAGATCGATTAATCGAAGAATCGACTTCTTGTGCTCGATCGATTTAATTGATTTAAGAAATCGATATACAGAACTGAATCGATATTTCATACTCGAAAATCGAAATAGAATCTTTCTCTGTTTTTATAAAAACTATCAAATGATCTACAATTTGAATGTACTCAAACTCTTAAAAAATAACAGTTTTTCTATTCAAAACTCGCAAAACTGCTGTGTGCTCAGTTTCTTTCGTCACTTGAGAAATAAAAAATAAGTTACTTTGTAATCTATACTTTGTCGTATATTTTGGTTATATCTTTGTCGACTAGATGGCACTACTTGGTTATTACGTGGCAGTATGGTTTGTGTTAATAGAAAAATATAAGTATGAATGAGCTTACAGGTATTTAAATTCACTGAGCTCGCTCAAATAAATTGACGTTCAATTTTTGATTTCCTTTCATTTTGAAAGGATTACTTATAACTAGCGACTAGCGAATGTTAACGGATTACCATAGATTACTGTGTATATACTAGAGATAGATATGCGATTCAAATTTTATTTTTGTTATTGATACTTGCTTCGACTAACAGATGGCACTAAGTTAAAAGTACACTAAGCTCGCCCTTTATTAGCACTTTTCAATTTTTATATTATATACAATCATCAATTACATTCACAAGTGCTGCAATGTAATTAATAGCTGTTTATGTTTCTTGTGCTAATTGTTAGTTTCTATTACAAAAAATAAAAACCAGTTATTTTTAAAATGTTTATTGTTTAGAGATATCCTTACCCGAATCCGTAACAGAAATTGTGTTTCAGACAGTTATTCATCTCGTTGAAATAAGATAAAAAGTGCAACGGGCCAAGTACTGATCCTTGGCCGTGCCTTCTGTCACATTCTTAGGGTCACTGAACGAGTTATTTAATTTAACCGTAAATGTACTATTTTGTAGGTAATTTTTCTAAATAAATGTTCACTGTATACATTAAAATATAAGCTAGTAAGTAATGCATGACGTTTTGGCGGTAATTGTTGAAAATAATTATTTATATCGTTACAGTTACCAAATACTTTAATGTTTATAGTCTTAATAAAGTTTGAAGTAAAGTAGTAAAGTAAAGTAGTAAGTAAATAGGTAGGTATATTTGAACAATGGTAAACAAAGAAAATAATATGATTAAGAGGTTTTAGACCTATATAAATGTTTTAGGAGTAATTAAATATCATTATATGATCGAATATAGTAAATTTTATTATTATTACGACCTTTCCTGACAAGTTTTTTACCGCCCTTAACCGAAATATATTAGAAGAGTTTCGCTTTGGTGTTATATAATATAGTTTTTAAGCGCTTGGTGAGGGCCTCCCTGATGAACACTCGCTGTTCAGCTACTTTCTTCGGCGAGTTTGGTAGGATGTTCACTTTCTTTACCTTCCATTTGGGTGAGTTCCGGAATGTGTAGCACGCAGCAGTGCCAAGTCAGTTATTAGCCTTCTCCACCCTCTTGTTAACAGAGAGAGCAAACTGTCATTATTATAGCGTACTCATTAATATAACATTTAGTGCCGATTTCACCAACGACGTCGTTGTCTAAGATTAACTAACCCGAGAATAACAGATAACTTACTGTACATTTCACCATGCAAAACAACACATTAATTAGCCTCAGATTAACTATTCTATCGAATAACGGTTTTACTTATCTGTGGAAGACTATTTGAATGAGCAAGTAAATGATTGTATAAAGAAAACAAATTAAGTATGTCATTGCTTTCCTTCTCGGCGAGGTACACAATAAACTTTTTAATTTAGCAGGGTTATACGGCAGTTTGAAGCAGATTCATTTTCATCAACTATTGATACACTTTGTATTTTTCCTCGCTTTTTTGTTATTTCAATATCAATTTTAATTAATAATGTCGGACAAAAAACGCAGTCCTAACTGGCCAATGTCGGAAAAGGTGTTGCTTGTGGATTTAGTGGCTGAACATTTCAGTGTAGTAGAAAATAAGCGTACCGATGCTGTTACTATGAAACAGAAAACTGCAGAGTGGGTAAAAATATCGGAAGAATTTAATTCCCAAACCACTTTTGGATATAGGGCTGCAGAAAAAGTAAAAGCACAGTGGGAAAGTCTGAAAAAAACCACCAAAAAAGAATCGTCTGCTGAAAGGCAAACCTTGATTTAAACAGGTAATAATCTTCATTTCTACGTTCTACGTTAACACCTATGGAATTTTTGGGACATCCTTGACATTACTTTCTGTTTTTTTTATCTCTAATGTTTAATATTTTATTCAGGTGGCGAACCTGCAAAGCCTAAGCTTGAGGACAACCCGCTATACAGAAAAATCTTGGCTTTGATATCTACGACGGTAGTTGGACTGGTAAATGAATATGACAGTTATAAAATTTTTTTATTGTTCCTAAAGGTACACACAATGCGATATCTCGGTATAATTGTTGATGATAAACTTAATTGGGCTCCACATATTTCTTTTATTTCTAACAAAACCAGAAAGTTTATCTATATCTTTAAGAATTTAAAAACAGTTGCAAACACAAATCTATTACTACAAACATACAAAGCTTTGTGCCAGAGCGTTATCAGTTATTGCATATGTTCTTGGGGATGCGCTGCTAAAACACATCTTATAGAATTAGAGCGAGCTTAATAAAGGGCTGTACTAAAAGCTATCGCTTCCTTATAGATATTTGACAGAAATGGTATATAATTTAACTGAAGTACTAAGTGTTCGTAAATTATTTATATATCAATGTCTTAGACGCTTTCATAGATGTAGTGTTCCGCAAATACAAAATTCAAAAAGAACTGTACGTATAAGTATCCCCTAAGTTAAATCCATATTCGACAAAAGGAATTATAATTACATAGCTCCAAAGTTATACAATATACTAAATAAAACAGTATGCACAAAAAAGGCCTCAAATCATACATTTAAAAGAATGTATATAACTTTTTTTTAGAATGAATATAACTGGCTTAAAGAATGTGACTATGATAAATGCGAAAATTTAATAGCTCCATATGAATAACTATATGTTCAGTGCAACAAACACGCTACTTATACGTACACACACACACACACACACACACACACACACACACACACACACACACACACACACACACACACACACACACACACACACACACACACACACACACACACACGCACGCACGCACATACACACACACACATACACACACACGCGCGCGCGCGCGCGCGCACGCACATGTATATAATGTTAACTGAGTATTAAATATATGTGAACATTTCTCTAATGTACTTTTCACACAAAGAGCTACTGAATGGCAAGGAACTGACTCCTGAAATACAGGGTATCCTAGTTTGGGAGTAAGGGCTCAATGATTATGTGGGGTATCTATATAGTTTTCTCATCTGGTTGGGATGTATAAATATATAATTATAAACGAAAATGAAAAGATACAAGGAACTGACTCCTGAAATACAGGGTATCCTAGTTTGGGAGTAAGGGCTCAATGATTATGTGGGGTATCTATATAGTTTTCTCATCTGGTTGGGATGTATAAATATATAATTATAAACGAAAATGAAAAGATAAATATACATAAATATCAATAAAATAAAATAAATAAAAAAATACATAAATAAATAAAAGCCCAACCAGATGGAAGCCCTCGGCAGGGGAGACCAAACGGCCGAGGGTTAGGGGGAAAGGGAAAGAAACCGGCGGACGATGCGGGCGGTATCGAGGAGCACCGCCTTCTGCATTTGAGCCTGGAGCGGTCCGCCACGTAGTCCCAGCCGCCTCAGATGACCCGAGAGGCTAACTGGGATTAGCTCGTTTGCAGAGACGACTACAGGAATAATTTCGGTCGGCAGGCCACCCCACATGTCGGTCACCTCGTGAGCCAGGTCCAGATATTTTGTTTGCTTATCTGTTTCGGCTTTCACGAAGTTCTCGTCACACGGAATGGTAATGTCGACCAAAAATATCCTTGACTGTGCCCGGTCCATCAGCACAATATCAGGCTTATTCGCAAGAATAGTCCTGTCTGTGATGATGGCCCGGTCCCAATAGAGCCTGGCGTGATCATTTTCGAGCACGGCTTCCGGCAAGTACTTGTAATACGGCAACTTCCGATCCACGAAACCGTATTTCAGAGCGAGCTCCTGGTGTAGAATTCTGGCCACTAGGTTGTGCCTGTGCAAGTACTCAGAGTTAGAAAGCGCCGAACAACCGGAGATGACATGCCTAAATGACTCACCGGGATGGCGACAAGCTCGACAGACGTCGATGGTGCCGGTGTCGATTATTATTATTATTATTTATTTTTATCACATATATTATCACAAAACTTTAATATTATAAATATAAATACAATCTATATAAATAATATTATTATTTCGGTTATTATCCACCGCGGCGAGGAATTCTAAGCCATCGGTGAAGTTAGGCATCCAAAGATAGGAACCTTCTTACTTTTCGGGCCGTATTTAATAAATTTAATAAGGCCGATTTTTGAATTAATGCCTTCAGCCATTTGCCCAAACCTAACTTGGACAGATAATTGTCAATAAGCCCATTGACTGATACAACTATTGGTACAATAATAGTAGAATCAACGTCCCACATAGCGACAATCTCAGGTCGATATATTTTAGTTTTTTATCATTCTCTGCTTTTACGAGATTCTCGTCATGAGGAACACTGATATCCACTATTATTGCCTTGCGTGTAGTTCGTTCTATCACCGCAATGTCAGGTTTATTTGCCACTATAAACCTGTCTGTGGTAATTGACTGATCCCAGTACAATGTGACACTTCTATTTTCAAGGACTGGTTTTGGTTCATACTTATAATATGGAACGTCCTGTTGAGTAAAGCCAAATTTAATTGCAAGCTGTTGGTGTATTATTCTAGCTACTTGGTTACGTCTGTGCAAATACTCACCATTTGATAGTTGTGAACAACCGGAAATAACATGTCTGAGGGACTCTCCAGGGTGGTGACATACGCGACATACGTCAACTGTGCCGTCCCTCAGAATGTATCTCCGGTAGTTGTTCGTTTTAATTACTTCATCTTGAATTGCACAGATAAAACCTTCAGTTTCTGCAAAAAGGTCACCAAATTGTAACCAATGTACTGATACAACCATGTCTACAGAAGGATTAGTCAATGCTTTAAAAAATCGACCATGCAGTTGTTTGTCATTCCAAACCTTTTTGCGTTCATCTATAGTCATAGTATGAGGCCTCTGCCAGTCCTTTGCCGACATATTAAGCTGGGTTAATGATTTGTCATTAATCACTACGTCATTATGAATGTGTGATGTGTCTTTTTTTTTAATAAAATAGTCTCTGAGGTTGTATACTTCACGGTTATCTAGATTTTTAATGTTTAATAAGCCCCATCCACCATCTTTTCTTGGAAGATACAACCTCATGACAGATGATCGTGGGTGGTGCATTCTGTGCGTAGTCATTAATGTACGGACTCGTCTATCTAAGTCATCCAATTCTGTTTGAGACCACCTTGTAACACCAAAAGTATATAGAAGGCTAGGTATTACCCAGGAGTTATATGCTCTAATTTTGTTTCCGTCGGATAAATGACTTTTGATAACTTTTTTTAATCTTGACATAAATTTTACTTTTGAATTTTCTTATTTTTTAATATTTTTGTCATTAATTCCTAGTGCTTCTGTCATGCCCAAGTATTTATAGGTTTCTGTTTCAGAAAGAGAACTGAAGTGTAAGTCATTTGTAATTGCAAAATTATTACAATCTTTAATTTTGCCCCTATTTACGTTGATGACAGCACATTTATCTATTCCAAATTCCATTTTAATATCATTGTTGAAACTATGTGTTAATTTCAACAATAATAGTAGATTACTCTCTTTTGATGTGAATAGTTTGAGATCATCCATATAAAGTAGATGTGAGATCGGTGAGTTTTCTTTTCGAAACCGAAACCCTAATCCGGATTCCTCAATAGCAGTGCTTAAAGGATTCAGGGCTAAACAAAACAAAGTTGGGATCAAACTATCTCCCTGGAATATACCTCGTTTAATATTTATAGAGTCTATCGAACTACTTTGCCACTCACCTGGTAGATTTAGGATAGTGTTCCACTGACCCATTAATTTACTTAAAAACTTACAAATTTTGTCATCTATTTTATATATTTCTAAAACTCTCTTTAACCATGAATGTGGAACAGAGTCATATGCCTTTTTGTAATCCACCCAAGCAGCGGACATATTTTTGCGATTACGATAGACTTGTCGGCAAATAGCAGTGTCAATGAGAAGAAGTTCTTTACAACTTTACGACATCCGTTCTGTGCAGTTGAAAGAATGTTATTATTTTCCAAATGTTTATAGATCTTGTTATTCAAAATTGCAGTTATTAATTTGCATACAGTTGAGAGGCAATGTTATAGGACGGTAATTTTAATAGAAAAATAGCCTTTTCGGTTTCTAAACAGTTCTGCCTGATCCCCGCCGGGTGAAGAAATTCTGACATGTGTGCAGTCCATTGCCCCTATAACTCTAGGGACTCTTGCTATACCATAAAACTCCCTTTGATTTCGCCGAATTTCCTGTTGAGTATTCGGAAATTTTATATGCTCGTGACGCTAATAAAAAAAATTATTCCTTTCTTTTACCCACCTTGGACGTTTTACAACATAATATGTTTCATCTTCACTATCATCACTGTCACTGTTGTTAATCATTCTTCTGAAACGTTGCATTATGTATAGCTATATACTCTCAATAATAATTAAGCTAAAAATTTATTAATCAAACAGCAATTCAGGAATAAGAAACTTGGACGTACGCGACAAACTATTAAAAATGTCAAATAATTGACAGCTGACAACCTGTCGGCCATTTTTAACCGAAGAATTACTCCGTAATCCTTCAAAATTGGGAGTATTAATCTTATCTCTTGGTTAACTATTTATTCTTGGGTTAAATTGTTGGTGAAATGTAAAATTTGATATCCTAGAATAACTTATATCATTACTCTTGGAATAAAACTTATCTGAGTTTGGTGTAATCGGCCCTTAACGTAATAACATTAGCATTCAACATAATTTAACATATTTTAATCTTATATTTATTACTTCTTTATTAAACTGTTTACGTTGAAACTTTAAAATATTATT